AACTGGGTCCTGTAACTTCAGCCGCAGTGTCAGCTAACTTCACACCGAGCTCCTCTCACCGCAGCTCGGAGGTTCTGCTTCCGAACAGCCCGGCACACAGCAGGACAAAAGACGGAACATGGAAGTGAAGCGGCCGATCGAAAATAAACCATATCTACTCACAAATTATATCTCTCGTAGACCGTCGCCATTTTCCTTCCGTCTCGCTGACCTCGGTGACGGCAGCGCGTGCGGTTTCCTTGCGTGTCACCGGTGAACTAGCTAAGAGCTAATAAGAGCTAATGGCTAACGGGGCGTAGAAACGACTTTCCCGTCCAGCCCAGAACAGCCGCGCATCTTTTACAAAACCACTGACGTCAGCAGTGCAGGGTTTAAAAGCTGCAGGCATTTTTTCTAATAATTTCCTCATTAAAACAAAACAGAATGCAAGATACTATTTAAAAACATTTAAAAGGACAGGACTACGGAAGCCCATTTGTGCCACTTCAAAACAACTAATTATGGCTTATAAATAAAATTATTATTAACCCTACTGTATAAACCCTGTAATATGGAAGCCGATTTCCGCCACCCTGATAAAAAAATAAAACTTGTATCATATTTATGACTTAGCTATCTCATAATTATGAGATACTATCATAAGTCATAATTATGATTTAGCTATCTCATAATTATGAGATAGTATCTCATGAGATAGTATCTCATAATTATGAGATAGTATCTCATGAGATAGTAAGTCATAATTATGAGATAGTATCTCATAATTATGAGATAGTATCTCATGAGATACTATGTCATAATTATGAGATAGTATCTCATAATTATGAGATAGTATCTCATAATTATGACTTAGTATCTCATAATTATGACTTAGCATCTCATAATTATGAGATAGCTAAGTCATAAATATGATACAAGTTTTATTTTTTTATCAGGGTGGCGGAAATGGGCTTCCATACTTTAAAATAGTCAGAAAATTCACATTTTTTTTAGAACCGACATGTTTATTGGACATTTAAACAAAATCCAATTTTTTTGCAACATCACTTTGTTTATGACAGAGGAGCCCAAAGTGGAGCCCGCGGGCCAAATTTGGCCCGCCAAGCCGTTTGATTTGGCTCATCAGCAGCTGAGTAGTTACTAGTCTGTAACCTGTCGTTGTATGTAGAAACACAGTTTCCACTTCGTCATTTCATCCATTGGCCCAGTGACTATATAAGGGACTGTAGTGCAGATAGTTTTCACTCATGGTGCTGACTTTATCTTTGATATATTAAGATTAAACCTGAAGCATGAAATACAAGTAACGAGATATTTAGATTAGATTTAACCACACATGTAGATTTTCACACTTTACAAGGCCACAAAACTCATATTTTATCAATTTATGAAATGTCTCATGAGCTTTTGCTACTTGAACGTATGGCAGACTTTCTCCAAGTTCACAAACTAAAACAAAAGCATGCCACCACACTGGCTTCTAGCTTAATTGTTAAAAATAAAGGACTTTACTTAAAAAAGTATTTGTATTTCATGTATTATATTACTGCATTTGGCCCGCAGCCCCGAATTCATTTTCATTTTGGCCCTCTTGAGGAAAATGTTTGGGCCCCCCTGCTTTATGATATATTTTTTGTATCAAATCTGATACACTGGGCTGTTTTGGTAACATTTTGCTCACAACAAAGTTAAATTAAAAAATGAAAAGACAGTTTTGCCAATAACTTTTAACACACTCTAGGAAGTTTACTTCTTTGTTGTTGTTGTTTTTTTTAACAATGAACTTTTTACAGCCAGTTATTTTACTTGGTGGTAGGCACAAAAACAGTTTCTGTCCTTGATCAGGCACAGATGTACCTTACACTTTATAAAAAATTGCCATCTATTATCATATTGATGACATTTTCTTACTTTCTATTTTTTTCTTCCTCAGTTCTCTTTGACTTCTAAAAATGCACATAAATAATTAGTCAGTACAGCGTAGAGATTATAATTTCAAAGGAACCACTTTGAAAATAGCTTAAATGTGTTTTCAAATGGCATTTCAGTAATTAATCAATCATCCAAAATAATGTGTGTTTGTGTTGTGGCAAGAATACTGTTGATTAAATTACTAAAATGTCACATGACTTTCAGGACTGGAGCACCTGCTGTATCAAGTTTGATACACAAATTTTTAACACGGTTTAACTGTACCATAAAAAATTTTTTAAAGTAATTATGTATTGTTTCAACACAGAAAGTATTTATTTAAAAAATTATAAACAATATTAATGTTATTCTTACCATAAATTCTCCAAAATTAGCAAAACTTTTCCTGAAAAAAAAAAGTGTGGATGACGTCATGTCAGCAGACATTTTGAAAAGGTAAAAAAAAAAAAAGAAGAAAAAAACATTAGTTCCACTTCCTGCAGTACAGTGATAATCCACTAGAGAGAAGACTACAGGTCTCACATGATATACAGCAGGTTTTTGAGGAAAATGTTGATGTCATTGATACAATATTGGTCACAGAATCCTGCGTAGCAAATATGATACAAATGGCGATTTAACCACCTTATGTTTACAAATAATCATTTTATATTTATGACTTAATATAGTAAAATTATATCCTCCATCCAACCATTATCTATACCCACGTCTTCCTTTCAGGGTCACAGGGGTCACTGTGCCCATATCCAGTCACTGTGTGCGGGGCAGTGTACACTCTGGACAAGTCCATCACTGGGATAAACAAACGAGACAAACCTAGAGATGATTTAGACTTACCAATTAGCCTAACATTAATGATTTTGGTCTGTGGGAGGAGGCCTGAGTGCCCAGAGAAAACCCACACATGCACAGAGAGAACATGCAAACTCTACCCAGAAAGGTCTCCGGGCCGGGATTTGATCCAGCGACCTTCTCGCTGAAAGGCATCAGCTCTACCAACTGACATCCGTGCTGCCACCAAAACTAAATTAAATTCAATTAAAATCATAACAGCATCTCATAATTTAATTTATTCTGTCATAAACACAACTAATTCCTCATAAACAGGATATTCTAGCCCAAAAGTAGAAGTTAGTATCTCAAACTTATGACATAGCCTTAGCTCAAATGTATTACTTAATTATGAAATAGGCAATAAAGTAAAAGGTCAAATCTTAAATTTGAGCTACTATCTTACACTTATGTCTCTTAACTGTGAAAGTCTTATGTAGTCCTAAGTATGAGATAACATTATTCATAGGATAGCTTTAGGCATTATAAGTTAGCATTTTGAGTTGCTAAATCACAGTTTTGAGGTAATTATAACTTGAACATATTTTAAAGACAGGTGCAAAGCTACAGCAAAAATACAAAAAAGTAACAGGTCTAGTTCAAGGGGAGGAAATACCCGTTAATCTATAATTCAGTAGTCTTTCTTCAAATAAATACTTAGCTTTGAATGCTGCCAAAACAAATATACATTTTGGGAATATTTCTTAAAAAGGTCCACTGTAGAAGTCATTACCCATGCAGGCGTCTTTCTGTCATTTCACTTGTATTCCAATATATAATTGTTTAAAAAAAAAAAAAAAGTAGGGACGCAAACAATTAATCAACTTAAATTAAGTGTTGAATAATGGTTTATTATATTACAAATTAAAATAAAAAATTAAATTAAAATGCAGAAGCCTGATAGTCACTCATTCATTCAAATCAGGTCTTTTGAAGCAGAGAAACAGTCTTTGCTTGTTCTGTTGTCCTTGTTTGTATTTGTAATTATTTCTAGTATTAACATTTGTTTTCCTTTGTCTTTCCATAGTAAAACTACACCATAACCTGTCCTGTGTTTGCTTGTCTCTTTCCTGTTCTTTCTAACCCCAGCTGCTCATCCTGGGTTTCTGCTAAAGGCCTCTTCCTGTTAAAAGTTGTTCCTTTATGTCACCAATGAGCTGCTTAAGATGGGAAATTGTAATGAAATGAAAATATAATGCAATCTGCTGGCTTTCTTAGATAAATAACATTAAAATAATGTATGAGAATATTTTAGTCCAATAATGACTTGTTCTTTATTGTGGCTCAATGTAAATAAATCGGATTAATAACCGGGGCGAGACCCTTGTATGTTTGCAGCTCTCGTCCGAGTAGCCAAAGCTAGAAGGTGTTTGGAAACCTCTAGACCAGTGTTTCCCAAAGTTGGGGTCGGGACCCAAAGTGGGGTCCCGAAACATCAAGGTGGGGTCCTGAAAAGATTTTCTGAATTAATGACATTTTTGCCTTACTTGTTACAAAGGAGTGAGGTTAGTGTCTTTAAAATGGATAATTGTAGAATAATAATTGTTATTATGCCCATGTTTAGT